CCGGTGCTTCTAGCAGTGGTGCTGAGGTGGCGCTTCAGACGGCATATGTCCGGGGAAGGTATCATTGGCGAGGGTGGTGGTGACTTGTTGATTCATCGTTTGGATTGGTGTGCTTCACTCTTGGTGATACCGGATTATCACGATCAGTGCAGATTCCGATCGAAAGTCCAAGAGAGGCTTTTCTGTGTTCTGCCACCAGGAGAAGCTGTGCAACCTTCTTGCTGAGAGACAGGACCGTGGCAGTCTCCAAGAAGCTGAACAGTTCTTTCTGTCGCACGTGATGTCTGAATTCCTTGCTCCGGCTTGAGGAGATCAGATTCTTTCGTGGTGTCGCGTGGCGCGGCTTGAACGACAGCTTTATAGAGAAGCGCACGCTCTTGACCTGATTTTGCGATGCTGAGATGTTGTTGGCTAAGGAGTGGCAGTGCTGCCACTCCAACTCCCACTAAGGCGGGGGGTTTCAGGGCCAATGAATCAGATAGCCTGTGCCTGTAGTTCCCGATAATCCCGATAATCAAGGTAGCACTCAATGGTCGTAGCTTGGCAGTGCCGCCAGGCCACCCCTACTCGGCCCCCGGGCAGTCAGGAAGAGGACCGTGTGGGCGAAATCTTGTCAGCTTCCTTCTGAAGTGCTGGTGCTTTGTAGGATACCCTGCTGTACACCGAGCCCAGCTTGGACCGCACTTTGCCTGTTCCCCAGTCTGAGCTTGGAGGTGAAGCTCCGGGTCTTCCTACCACGACTACGTGGTGGGACGGGGTGGGAACTCTCGACATCTCTCGACACCCTCGGATCCTGTGAGGGATGCACCGAGCTGCGAACTGCTGGTGGCCCATCCACCGGACACATGTTTTTTGGCTGCTCAGGTCCCCCATCACAGCTCGTGAGGCGGATGGGTCGCCGACGCCTGAAAACTGGGAAAAGCCCGGCGAACACTTCATTTAGGTGCTAAAGCCTTAAACTTCACGCCGTCAAAGCAGCTCGAGGCAGGATCTGGCGGACCTGGCAAGCCCCAGTCCGCTGAGCCAGGCGGGTCTCTCTGCCCGACCTGTGTACAACGTCGTGCAAACCTCGTGCAAACGTTGTGCAACGTGAAGCGGCGGAGCTCCCACGCGCGTTGCGCGCCTCGCGCGCCGACTTTCAGGGCAGCTTCCCGTCCTCAGCCATCCTCGGGCGGCGGCCCGAGACTCGGCACCGGCCTCTTTGCCTCACGGGCTTCGCTCAGGTCTGAAAGCTCTCCTCTGACACGCAGCATCAAGATGCTGCCACCCCAGCAGCTCCAGGTGCCGAGCTTGACTGCGCCTACTCAGCGCCCCACGGTGGCTGTGCTGGCTTCTGTGATCAGGTTCCACCTCTCCCTGGCAAATGATTTCCAGCGGGAAGCGTGATGAAGGGCCGCAGCAGCTTCGTGAACAACACGAGCTTACCAATGCCTCAGTAGTGTGGGCACGCCAGTTTAGGACCCGTCCCCAATGGAGTAGCTCTGAAAGATCAGGTATCCTCCTGACTGACCCCGCGCCGGGATGTTGACGAGAGCAGAGCTTGCAGAAAGAGCTAAGAGCCGCAACGCAAGCCTCTCTCCACCTGGGGGGCCTCAGGGCTCCGAGGTTAGGACGAGAGCTGAGGTCTGAAGCGAAAGCGACTTCGGAAGCGCACCAAAGCTCTCTGAAGCCCAGGCCCGGGCCTTGACTGATGGCAGCGGGGGCAGCACGAGCAGCCGGCCACCGGCCCTGGCCCCAGCCGACCGCCCACGGGATGCAGAACGGCAGACTTCCAGCCATGAAGCAAAGTATCACAGATTTCTCTTCATCCCAAGGCATCTTGAACACACACGCGCAGCTATGTACACCGCTTCCTTCATATGAGCAGGAAGAACAACGGTAGTAGTACACCCTGTGGTTCATGGGGACCACTGTTTTTTGCAGCACTCCGTACACCTCCACTAAAGTGCACAATCCCAACAGTCGCGTTTTTTCTTCCGGTGTAGAGTGTTGGATTTAAGGTTTGGCGGTCCGCAGTTGTCCTCGCGTTTTCCGTTCAGGGTTGAGGATTTGACTGCTAATACGGTTCCAGGTGGAACGTTCAAGCTTCAGGATTGTCGATTTCATCGGCATATCGTCATTAACAAGTTGTGATCAACATGTTGTCATCAACACGTCACCATCATCAGCATGTGTCGTCATCCCCACATCGTCATCACCTCCCTGGCCCCACCGCCACCGCCCCCCCCCACCCCCCCACCCCCCACCCCCACCCCAAGTTCCAAAATCCTACCTCCGAATGCTTCCCTGGAAACCTGCAGGGACAAACCTGATTGCAGCAGTGGTGATGGCAGTGGTGGGTGTTGCCATCACGAACAGTAGCACCGGCAACATCAGCAGTGCAGTTTGAGAAGAGTTCCGGCTGCTGCGAGGATCCCCCGCCACTGCCGGCTTCAGCCTCGGAGCCGAAGGGAATCTTCCGGTGCACGGCTTCGGCCTCGGGAGCGAGACAGGCCTGGACGAACGGCAACCCCGAGGTGCGTGCTCCGTCTACCATTGCCTTAACTGACTTCAGCGTGTCAACGTGCATTTCCAGGTCGACGACTTTGTCCGGTGCCGCCCCCAAGCAGTGGGTTGTGGATACAAGCGCCTGCAGTTGCAGTTCGGCAGAAGCCTGCATGCAGAGGATGTCCCAACGTCCTATTGACCCAGGAGACACAACCTCTGTTCGAAGGCAGAGAACGAGCTCAGGCCTGCAAACCGCGAATTCCGTGTGCTGACCGTTTCAACGCGGAATGACCTCGCTAGCAATCCGACAGGGAGCTGCCGATGGCCGATCAGCTAGCTCTGATCCGCAAGCCTTATAAGTGTGCTTCTCGGTCTGCCTGGGTAACTTTTCGAAGAGCGGGGCGGGGCAGAGTGCAGAAGCCATTCTAGAATTGATGCCGCCTCAGCGGCAGTGAGTCCATGCAGACATGTGCCAATTGCAGTCTGCAATCAACTTTGCAAACCGCATTTACAAGCGCAGCGTTGTAACTGAAGGCACAACAAAGACGATCCTTGCAGAGCTCGGGGTACAATCATGCAGCATCATCGACCCATGCCGTAGTCACTCCAAAGAGACCCGCGCACCATGATCTCGACGTCGCTAAGACGAGTGTCGCAGCACAGAGAAGCGTCTTGGTTCGCCTTCAACGGCCATCTGACTCATGCTAAGGGACATTCGCTCCATGGATGCGGTTGTCATCTCTCAGAGCAGGCGTGTGGGCAGCTGCATGTGATGACACGGATGCCAGCTCAAGACCACTACCACTGCAACATGTTCGTGATAGACTATGCATCCACGTCACCGACCGTGACTGCATTTGCACTTTGTCTGTGTCTCTCGGCTGTCACGCGCTTCTGGATCAATCTTCACAGTATTTCGAGGTGGATTTGTGCCTGTATTCTTCAGCACGGATGCAGCTTACGTAGTAGTGCATTGGCAGGCGATGTCTGCAGATATTGCAACAGCATGGTGACTCATGCACATCCGGCTACATGGAGCAGCTAGACAGTCAATCCCATAGCTCGTTGTGGATGCCCTCAGGGGCATAGTATGAGCACGAGACAAGGCAGAACTATATCTGACTTCAAACTCAAGAAGCAGCTTCTCCCATACGAGTTTACCCACAGCGATGGCACGCCTTCCACTTTCAGTGCGGCTGCGACGTGCCTTCGAACGCAGCGTGCTTAGACGCTGGTAGTAGATGTCCTTTACGCGCTTCTTTACTCGTGCTTTGGCCAACTAGTGCTCGCGAACGAGTTGTTCCATGCCTCCAAGGCGAGCAGCCCAAAGTGCAGCTGGACGACACCCTGGCGGGATACTTCGCGGCCATGTCCAGAGCTCGGACCGTCACCGTGAGCTGGATTGGGGTGCTTTTTGAGTGACCCAAGGCTCGAAGATGACGAGGAGTGTGATGAGGAGAACATAGTTGAGGCAAATCCGAGCGATTTCTCTTGCTTGCCGCCACCTGGCCCGCCTGGGCTTTTTCATTCCCCAACTCGAAGATCGCCTCTCCTTGGCCGACTTCGTGATGTCCGATCTTGAGATGCGTCGTCCGTACATGTGCCGAGCAAGCTACGTGTTGGAGCATGCAGCCTCTCTGATCTTGTACGAACTCGCTTGGTCTTGGTCTTGACATTCTGGCAGCAACTCACAGAATCCAGCGGTAGGTAGTTGACAAGCACACTAGCGAGTCCTACATTTAGTACTAAATACACCCAGCTCACTCGAGACTTCGATCGTTCAAGCCTTTCAGGTGTGGTCCTCGTACCTTGTTGCACTGCTGGAGCCCGAGGGTGCCTGCAAGGATCCGCCAGCTGTACTCCTACCATGCCATGCCATTTGCGTTGTGTTTCCGAGCAGGAGCTTTGCCTCTCGGTCTTGAAGCACCTGAAGGAGTGCACATGAAGTGCACCCTGATCAGAAAGCATTCCTGCCATTCCTGCAGGCCTGTGAGGCCGTTTGCCACTGCCTCAAGTCAAGACTCAAGACCGAATCTTATGGTCGTCTCTTCACGTGCCCAGGCAGCGCTGCAAACTCGCCTCAGCTTTCGCGAGCAGGCGTGCTGGTGGAGGGTCCGGAAACTTGCTGTACCATGCTGCAACGGCTGCTTTGCCGCTTTGCCCAGCGAACCTTTGCTTGAGCTGCGAGGCTCCCTGAACCCCGCTCCGGCTCCGGGTGCCGCGGTGGAGATCTCGATCACAAAAGTTGAAACCAGCCCAACAGAGGAGCCCGAGGAGAGGACATGTGCCCTAGAGCCCCGATTCCTGCCTGTCTGCGCTCGCACCTATGGATGCTCCCTGCTTTGTGCATTGTTGGCGCTGGACTCAAAAAGCTGGGCCGCAGTCTGCAACAGGGCAAGTTAGTTCATTTATGTGCAGATTGGTCGGCTGCCCGATGCTACCGTTTCACCAGTCACCGCAACTGAGAACCTTTGGTCCTGATCGTTGAGCCTCTTCGGAGCAGCATGGCGGCCATGGCGGCGCCCGCCGATGAGCCGGACGAGGCTTCGCCTCCTTCGCCCTACCTGGACGCGCTGCTGACCAAGCCGGCTCGCAGCGGCCGCACTGGCCAGCGGCCCTTCGGCTCCCTGGGAGATCAGATCGAGGCGAGAAGAGGCTACTGGTAGTTTGCCAGACTGCGCTGTGAAGTGTTGCTCGAGGTGGACAAGTACGATGAGCAGCTTGCCGACAAGGTTGAAGATCTCAAGGCACCTATGACATTATGAGATCCGAACTGCTTCCAGTTTCCGAACTGCGCTTGCGAGCCGCATGCGACGCACGGCAAGTTGCGCAGCGGCCTCCTGCTCTTTGGCAGGCACTCTTCAGAGGAGCCATTCCGCCAGACGTGGTGGACCGGACAAGCGTGTAGCGCGAAGCCATGATTCAGGATTCAACTTGTCAGCGCGGGGGAATCCAGGACAGGGCCAAGATCTTCGCCTCCCCAGCCAGAGAGTTCCGGCACCGGGCGGGGCCGCTGGCCGTGCGGCGGCCTTGTGCAGAGAGGCACGTCATATCATAGTCAACCGTCTGTTGTTTGTCAACTGCAGCCTTGGCTACCTGACATATAACTTAGACACGTTCGCTGCTGACAAAGAACGTAGTCGCCTTCGCTGTTCCGACTGCGGGCCATTTGTTTATATCTTTCGTTCGACGGATACAGCGCTCGCTCCACGCGTCTCAATCTCTCTCTCTCTCTCTCTGTCTCCCTCTCTCCCCATGTGTCGGCAGCCCATGTATGCGCATGCATACCAGCAGTGTCCCGGAGAGACTGAGAACTATCGTGGATTTGAGGCAGGCCGAGGGTGTCTCCCTCGAGCTGTCGATGTGGGACCCGAAGGCCGAAGAGCACAGCCTCATCAATCCCACAGAGGCTCCAGCAGCTTTGCATCGGCGATTCCGGGGAAGCTGACTTCCGAGCGTCGGCAGGCCGAAAGTTTAGTCAGAACTGGTGACGGTGAGGTGCCCATATTCTCGCGGCCCATCTCCGTAGCCATGGAGGTTGGGAACGGGGCTCCTTCTGTGAAGCCGGGCTGAGACATACAAAGTTGAAAACGACGTGGGACCTTAAAAGACCAACTTCGCGAGGTTTGTGCTCCGAAGCATGGCCTCTCTCTCAGGTGCTGAGGACGCTGCCCATCCGAGTGGACCCTGAATTGGGGGCGTCTCGGAAGAAGGGACAAGGAAAGGGAGTCAGTAGGCGACTTCCGCTTTTAAAGCCGATTCTGAGGAGGGCAACGACGAGCAGGAGTGGACCTGCCTTGACCTCGCTGATGCTTCCAAGCCGACAGCCTGGGGGCGAGTCATCGGGCATGGCTTGCGCTCAGCGCAGTTCCATTCGACACTCTCTGGCGAACTCATCGTGTGCCTCGCCTCATTTTCATTTATCAGACCTCCAAGCTGTCTAAGTCTACGGCCTAAGCAGTGCGTGCAGGAATAATTTCTGTTTGACCATCCCTCCCTTAGGCATGCCATGATTAAGCAACCGCCAAGTCTGCCTGCAGGTGTCTCGCGTACCACGACGTACGGCTGCGCGACTTAAAACGTGGGCAGCCGCTGCCAGAGGAGGTGTGCTACTCGCAAAGCGACCTGGCACTGACCCGGTGTCATTTCTCACCCTGGCGAGGACGATGCAGCTTTCGAGAATTCCACCCAAGGAAAGAGGCCGGGATCGCCAAACGTTGCGCGGGAGCCCGGGGAACCCAAATGATCAGCCATGGGCTACGAGGTGGATGGCCGCTGCACAGGAGCTGAGGAGCTTCCTGCTGCTCCGACAAAGAGTTCAGTAGCAAGTTCTCTGCAGTTCTTGCTATTTCCATCGTTCTGTTCTGCTTCTGCAGTCAAGACAGTGTGGGCTGTTGTCTATTTTGGGGTTTTGTCTCATGTTAACGCTGCATGATTCGCCGTGCTGGAGATGAATAATTTTGGGCTTGACGTGCATAGGTTGCAGGCGATGGAAGCCGCAGACGTCAAAGGACGCGGGTGATGAACATGCATCATCTTGATGTGGCCCATGTTGCTGCTGAGACTTCGCCTTGATCAAAGCTTACATTCAGCATAGCAGCCAGAGCTGCAGGAGCAAAAGTAGATGTCGTGGGACGATGGAAGCGAAGGCGTTTAGCAGTCGAGCGGGACTTCGTGCAGGTTCCCGCTCGGGTTCCCCTTTTACTCTCTCTCAGCTGCCCTTCCTCCTCCCAAAAAAAGGAGGCTTTCGAGCTAGAGGATGGCCGGAAGCTGGTGTACAAGCAGCCAGAGGCCGGCTCCAAAGAGAAAACTCGGCCGATTCATGTGCTTTCATCCTTCCTCCTGGCAGGGCCAGTTCTCGAACCCGCGCCTTGGCTTCATAGAGACGGAGCTTCGCTCTCGACTCAGCACAGCTTCTCTGGGTGGGAGCTGATGAGACTGTGAGAGCCAACGTCGGTCTATAACATGTAAGCTTTCTGGGCCTTGCCATGTTGTTGTCTAGATTCGAGATTCTAGTTTGTTCAGTAACAAGCAACCGATCACCTAGTCGCTGAGTCGGACTGCGTGTGGCTTCCTTGGTCGCCGAGGAATTTGCCTTGCGAGGTCGGGATTCCCGTGTAGCCATGGATGTTCTTGAAATCTTGGGCTTAAGTGTAGAAGCAGTAGGCAGGTGCCTCCCCCGCAATGTGTCAAGTCGCCAGGTGCATTGCCTGAACTGGCTCTGCCTCCAGGCTCTGGTTTCGCGAGTTGAGTGTGCTTTGTGAGGGCCTGCCTATACCGCGAACTGTTTCAGTTTTCCGCGCTGCTGCCAGGCCAAAGAAGCGAGGAAGGATGCATCCGCGGGCAGGACCAGCCCTTTTATTGTGTGTAAGCGCTTCCGTCGGCATTCGTGCGAATCGCGTGCAAGTTTTCGCTGGACAGTTCGCCCTGCCTGCAGGAGAGGGGCCGGAAGGTTGCTGGAACTCCATTGTGGAGGTGCCTGCGATACAACTTGCGACGAGTTTTGGGCCCCGTTGGGGCTTGCTGCACTGATGGAGTAGGTGGCAACAACACTGTGGCGCTGGCCCCGTTGTTTGAGTCTGTCCGGGCGGTGGAGATCAACCGCACGTTGGCGCAAGCCGCAGAGGACAACTTGACAGCAAACAACATCACGCGCTTGGGTTGCAGCAGGGGTGTGCTTCATCTGCCCAGCAGTAGCAATGTGAGCCTCGGCACTCGTGCAGTGCTCGCCGTGCTCGCCTGCATTCGCATGCTGAGGAACGCCAAAATCTTCCGTATGTCGAGCGAGAGTATCGACGAATCGATCTTCGCTGGTTGTGATGTGATCTTGGTGGACCCTCCACGAGCAGGCCGGCGAACGCGATAAGCAGCCAAGGAGCGAAGACTTCAAAGTCTTGACAGTTCTTTCCACTGCTAATCGTACGATTTCCCGATCATGTATTGTGCGGTGCCCGTTTGACAAATTTACGTCCTCGTGCTTGCGAGACACTGCAGCTGTTGTAGGCGGTGTCGCCAAAAGACCTGCCCTGCTACAGGTTAGTACTAGCCGCTGGCCCCTTGTTGGTCGGGTATGGTCGGGTTCCTTACGCACGCAAAGCACACAAGACACGCAAGGAGCGCAAAACAATCAAGATGCACTTGCCCGCCCGCGCGCGCATGCACGACCACGCCCGCACCGCCCACTCGACCGTGCGCGGACACTCGCGCGCCCCCACCATCCCCCACCCGCATTAGTCATTGCTTTCATTTCTGCATGCTCTGCAGGCTTGGACGCCACTGCCCGACAATGCGTGGCCAAATTCGATCAGCTTCCTGGCAGAGCTTCTGATTGTCCGAGTCATGAACAGGACACAGAGCTTCGCAGCTCAGGATTCTGTACATTTCTTGCAACCCTTTGGCCCTCAAGGGCGACATCAAGAGCCTGGGTGAAGGCAGATCTTCTCAGTGGTCTGCTTTGGGTTTGGGCGGTGTACCTTGGTTTACCTCTGTTCTGTCTCCGGCTGACTTTGGTCAAGCGCAAGTTCGTTCCAGGCTTCGAGGTAGTGGCCCTTGCAATCTTCGACATGTTTCCCTACACCACCCATGCCGCAGCTTGGACCAACGATGCTGGGTTCTGGTTTTGTGACGGCCTCATGCAAAGTGCACGCAGCGCAAGGAGTGCGCTGTCCGCATCCGCCGCAGGCGACAGGCAGGGATCTGTCGCTTGCAGCTACACCTCCCTCTCCCCCCAAGCGACACTTCCGCCTAGGCGTTTGTGCCACGATCGCCCAGCAGCAGACGGTGGAAGTTTCTCGTGCTTTTCGTCATAGGCACGAAGATTCACCAAGTCTATGCTGTCCTGTTCAAGTACACGCATAGACATAAGCATAAATCTTTGTTGTCCAGATCCACTTCGATCTGTCTGTGGGAAGGCCAGTGGCTGATTTGTAACCTGCAGGTGCTGTAGCTGCAGCTCTATATCGTCGGCGCTTCCGGTGCAAGTTGGCAGCTTGAGAGCCCTTGGCTGCTGTCGGCTGCTTTTCCTGGACATAGTACAGCACCATCGTGTACAAAGCACCAGCTGGAGCCGAAACGCTTATGTGACTGATGTGTTCTTACCTCCTCTTCGGAACCGGTGTTCAGATGTTGACAATCTTCATGCAGGTACTAGTATCAACCTCAACCTAAACTTAACCCGCTTCTGCTCGCGGCTATGGTTCTTAGCCACGTTTCATTGCGTCTTGCTGCGCAAATTCGTGGATATTTGGAGAATTGTCCGCAGCAATGGCACGCTACAGGGCTTAGGTTGAGGCCAATATGCTTGTGCCGGAAAAAGTGCGGTAGTGCACACCCTTAGTGTGCCAGTGACAGCCTAGCAGCGAGGAGGTGGAAGGGCTCGGCGACTGGCTGGAGAAGCTCAGCCGTGCCCTGGGAGAGCCAAACACAGGACCCAGCAAGATGAAGCAGTTTCGGTCCCCAGGCTTGTCCCAGTATGCGCTGGCGGCGCGGGAATGGTGCTCCGGCATGGGCTGGGGCACCCTGAAACGCACGAAACGTCAAGAGACCGAAGACATTGCTTTGCCCGCTTTGAGGGGCGGCCACTGTGGAAGAGATCGAGGAAAACTGGGAGGAGTTCAGCGATGCGCCGCCGCCTCAGCATCAGAGAGCGAGCGGCCCTAGTCAAGAGGAGCAGGAATAAGGGCTTGAACTGGTGCGAATAGTATCACATGCAAAACTACAAGTACCATCATCTGTCACAATCTATCGTCTATGCATCACTGGCTGTTTCTTGAAGCCAGGATGAACCTCAAGTTCCTGGAGCGGCGCCGCCTGAAGCTGTGCGCTGCTCCGGTGAGCGAAGCAGCGACGCCCGAACTCTCAGAAGCTTTAGGTGTGTGACGGTGTACACGTGTCTGTGTGTAGTTTACCTTAGTCATTTTACATGGGGTCACACGGGATTCGGTATTGGCCTCTCTCCGTGCCAATACAGAGAGGAGCTGCCTGAATGAGGTCTCTTCGTCTCACGTCTCACATTCTTTGGTCTTTTGATGCTGGCAGTGCTAGCGCAGTTGTTTCGTCATCATCTCCGTTGCTGCTGCCGATGATGTGTATCATGCAGAACCCTCTTATGGTTGCTTCCTAAGCGATGGATATGTATGCTCGCGGATGCACCCGCCCAGCCACCCAGCCACCCTTCCCTGCCAGCTGGCCACCAGCCTGTCCGCCCGCCCACCCACGCACCCAGCCGGCCAGCCAGCCACCCACCCATCCACCCACCCATGCACGTAAGCTTATATGCGCATACACACATGTGTGGTAGTGTAAGGCTAGGTAAGCTGATGGCAGGCAGGGTTCGGTACTGTCGGGTACTGTATATGTGCATGTCGAGTAGCACACTCGTGTGCAAAGGCACATGTTAGCAGAGTCGCTGAGCAGCCGCACCGTTGTAGCCGTGGTGCTCGAGCGACTCGAGGAAAGTTTTGCTTTCCCCGCCCTCCACCGCCACCCATAAGGCACAGAGTCCGGTCTTACGTTCCTCTCCCAGGTAGCAGATTGCGTGTGGCTGGTGGTACAGTCTGGCTGTGGCGTGAACATCCACAGCACCGGCCACCACACGTGATTTGTTGCAGTACGAAGCGGGCAGACATCGCATCCTCCAGTGACCACTCCGGAAGAAAGGGAGTGAACATACAGATATCGCTGCGTATCTGTACACTTTTTGTGTGCTCGTCCCGATGTCTGGTTATGCTAGACAGATGCATACATGTATCCAGATGTGTCTCAAGTAAATGGAACCCTGCATCGGCGTCTCCGGCCAAGTGGATGTGTATACACACCGAGACACCAGCGTGTGCAGTGACACCAGCAAAGAACATGATCGTGCTGCTGTTGGGACTCTAGTTCCTAGTCCGTCTTACAGGTTTTCAAAAATTCGCAACATTATCAGAAGTTAGATTTCACAACTTTGGCGACTAATGTTTGTATTTGCACATGCAATCGACGGGTCGACCGATGCACCCCTTCGCACGTATGGGAGATGGAAACCTGAGTCTTCATGGTTATGGAACATATGCAACATTCGTCCCCACGATGGTGGACATCCCCAGGCCTGTAGCGCGAGACCGCGCAGATGCAGAGGAGGACTGCACCTGCACTCTTTTGAAGGCTTCAACGCACGACAGCATTGTGCCAGCAGTCAACCGAGCCACAAACGAAACTGTCCAGGAGCCAGAAGAGTTTCAGCGCCACTGGGCATGGCCCTCTGAGTAGCCAGAGGATCCTTTGGACATGTTGCCACATCGCCCCCTCCCTGGTCTTTTGGTGGCTAGGCTGGCTTCTCTTCCTATGAATCTTAATGTTTCTTCTCGTCGGCTGCATCGAGCCAAACCTGTCGTTTCCCTTCCGGGTGTACCTCATGGGCCTTCGCAACCCAAAGGCTGCTCGGAATCACGAAGAATTTAGACAGCCCTTCCGAATTGAGCTCTAGGTCCCTGACGATTTGTCGACTTCACTGGAGGCCAGGGTTCGTGGAACCAAGAGGATCTCATGACCATGATGCTTGTAGCAACTCCTGATGGCAGGCAGAGCGCCCCTTCGTCATGCCCGCATCCCAGTGACTCAACACGAGTGCTCAAGTCGAGGATGTAGATGGCAGCTGATTGGGATCTGGATGGTTCAGGTCTTCATGCAGCAGCAAACGAGGAGAGCACCCAACTCAGCTTAGGACTTGTTGTGTTGAATGGCATATAGGGTTGCAGTGCATGCTGCATGCATTCGTGGAAAGCCAAGGCTGCATAGCTTTGGTGACCCAGACAGCCGCTGTCCAAGCATGCGTTGTAGTGCCGAATCTTATGGAACGACAGAGCTCGGTGGACGGAAGCGCCAGATCCCTACACCATCCTCAAAGAGCTTGGTCATGGGATGACGGCCACTGCAGTGGCCTCGGGGCCTGAGAGGGTGTGGTGGACCCTACCTCAGCCACCCAGTGCCGGAGAGCATCTGGAAGGTCTACAAGTGCCGGAGGGACGACCAGATTTTCGCCGTCAAAGCGATCGGCCTGTCCAGGTGCGCATGTACCTCCTGCCCTGTTGCATCCCTTGCGCAAACAACGACTTGCAAAAAAGGCTGCAGATGCAGCGCGACAAAGAAAAGGCCTTGGAACGATTGCGCAGAGAGCCAGGAACCAATCGTCTTTGCTGCGCAGCTGTATTCGCGAATTCGTTCTCTCCATGGAATGTTGATGACTGGGTCTGTAGCACTTGGCTCCATCGACTGACCAACCCCATAGCACACTAGCGTACCATACTTGCTGTATGTCGAGGGGCGCGGCCCTCAGCGCAGCATGGTACAGTGCCACAGGCTGCATTTGGTGCGCCAGAGATACCCACCCAGAAGCTGAGGTACAGATTCTGCTGAGGCAGCACTCATGCACACCGAGAACTGGGGTTCAATCGAGGAGGCTCACAAAAGTCATGGTCCTGTGCAGAGTGTCTGTGAGCTCGCAGCTCCTAAAGGGGGGACGTTCCGAGTTGACACGCCGTATAATTTGGTAGTGCAGGTGGTGAATGCCCCTGTGGAGAATGTGGCAGGCGATGCCACGTGGCCGTCGGCTCCGCGGTGTAGCATTAGATTATTAGATGTACTCATGCGCAGAGCGACCTGATTTCCTGGTGCTGTTCCCCGAGACCCGAGACATCCTGAGACTTGCCACTTTCTGCAAGACCCTCGCTGCTTCTTCGCCCTCGGAACAAGTCCCGTTCCCTCCACTGCTCGATCTGAGGTGCTGTGCATGTGGTTGACGCTGCCGCTCAATCTTATTCAGGGCTGCATCGGTGGGCTTTGCAGGCAGAGACGTGATGGTGTTGGACATACCTTGCAGTGCGTGCAGCAAGGAAGTCTGAACTGCTGCATCTGTTGCGCACCAGACCTTCACTTTGCACGGACCAAGAAGCATCAACAGATTGTTGGGCTCCAGCTGCTTCTATTCTTTCGACTGTTCCAGCTTGGGCAAATGCAGCCGGGGTTTTTGAGCTGCCTGGGCCTTGGGTGCAGGTTTGCCATGGCTTTCTTCGTGCTTGGCTGTTACTGCTGCCGATGCATCCCGCCCCTGGGCAGGATCTTTTCTAGTTTGCTTCGCGTGGCTTTGTTCTGGGGGCTGCCTGATCTCTTAGCATCTTAGCCACTCAGGGATTCTATTCGCATAAGCCTGACTTCTCGCAAGGGGCTGGATCTGCTGTGCGGCCATGGCCTCTGTAAAGTGTGGCCGTCCTTGCATCCTGGCACCTTCGTGGTGGAGGTATGCAACTCGGCCTGACACCCGTTCGTAAGTGTGCATGCATACTGTCACGAAATGAGTGGGCAGAATTGTCCAGGTATTGGGGGGCTTCATCGCGCTCTTGGCAAATTCCAGGCTCAGAGAAGACTTCATGTGAGCAGGTGCGATGTGTATTGTCGCTTGTGCAGGAGTCGTTTGGCCTTGTTCATATGGGAGTGGGAGGCGGCCTGAAAGTGTCGGAGCTGCCAGAACGAGATGTGGATTGGTAAACAACGAAAGATGAAACCCTGCGCCCAAGAGATTGGGAGTGCAAGCCCTCAATTTCAAAAGCATGCAAGCTGCCGCCCAATGTAGTGTGGACACATGCGAACATAGCGCCAGGCGTTTGGAAAAGGAGACCACTACTGGCATGGGGAAGGATATTGGTCAGTCACCTACGAGGAGTGCTGCATGGGAGGTTTGGATCGCTCGTGCGCTGTTCTGATTTGTTCTGTCCGGGTGCAGGAGTGCAGCACAATCACGAAGTCCCAACAGAAGAGACGGTCAGCTTTTGCATGCATCGAGGCATGCAGGGAGGGGATGCGGAAGGGACTGCATGTGCTGAACCTCTGCGCAAGGCCTGTGTTCCTGACCTCTTTGCGCCTGGCTCAATGGGGTCAGACTGTCGACAAAGCCACTCTGCGTCTCTGTCTCACTGCATTTCTTGAGGCTTCCAATATCCTGCTCTTTCTGCCCACGGGTGGCCCTGAGAGCGAGTGGGCAGCGATCCGCAAAGTGCTGCACGCGGCGATGTTGGACCGAGGCACCTTGAAGTGGACTAGCGGCGCGAGTGTAGCTAGAATTGAATGGGATGTTGGTCTCAAGCTTCCAAGAGTTGTCCTCTTTCGACTTTTGCAGGTGCTTACCACTACACGGAGCGCCTGCAAAAGCTGAGCTCGCAGTTAACTGCCGAGTGGCCAGAGCCAAAACTCACGGACCCCGCCTCAGCTTCGGAAGTTCACTCCCAGCAAGCGGCTGAGAGTTCGACTTCTCCTTCTCTGGGTAGCTTTGAAGCAGCAACTACAAGTGACAGCTGAGCACAGTTCATTGACAGTTCATCAGATCATCAAGCGATATGAACAAGCCCGAAGCTGCTGATATCAGGACTTCGATGATACGGAAAAGTTGCGACTTATGGCTGCTTGGCGGTTTGCAGTGCAGGTGAGATGTTACAAACGCAGCGCGCCGCTTTGTGGTTCAGGTCGTGAAGTGCATCTTCTTCATGATCTTCGGTATTTGGCTCGACGACAACGATGCACTGATCCTGCGCAAGTGGCGAGACTACGCTGTGTGACCTGGCCAAAGCACCCGGCCCCAACCTCTTGCAGCAGCAAGCAGTTGCATGCGGCACAGATGACTTGGCGAATCCTTTTCTGCTAGGGCAGAAGACGTTCCTGCCCCGTCCTAGCAGAAGCTTTGCGTGACCCTCTCTAAGCGCCTGCGTGCTCAGGTTCTTCGTCCTCCCACGGCTGATTCACCGCTTCATTTTCAATTTCGCCATTGGCAGGGTAAAGCAGCTTCGGGTGGACACAGTGCCTCGAATTGAGAGGCGTGTGCAAGTTGAGCTGTGGAAAAGCTCTGGTAACTCGCAAGGTCGGGGTCATTGAAAAGCACGGGCTTCAGCAAATGTTTGTGGACATGAACAAGAACCTTCCGGAGAAATACCGAAGGCGGGCTGGGAAGGGGACCTGGGGGGCAGCTGGCAATGTTGCAAAGCCATGAGCTGCAGTCCTTGAGGCCGACGGATGTGAAGCTGTGCGATGAGATCATGCTCCAAAGCTGCAACGTTACTACGTACTCGTACTGAGTACTGCACACTCCGTAATACCCACTGTCTACTAAATCTACTACCGACTACGACGACGTCGACAACTGCTACAGGTGCTGCTGCTACTCCTGTTGCTGGTACTTCTACTACCTACTACCTGCTACCTACTCCTACTACTGCTACTGCTCCTGCTGCTGCTACTGCTACTGCTTCTCCTGCTACTGCTTCTACTTCTACTTCT